CTACGGCAAGTAGTAAGGAAGGTGGGAGGCACAAACACGAGACCAGTGATTAGCTGGAATGCCACTCTTTTTGGGCAGTTTCAGGATTTCCACAATGTTGGGTGCAGAGCAGGTTGGGAAGCACCAACAAGAGAACCAGGCAGAACATGGATGCTTCAAGCAAAAAATGGTGTGATAGTAGTTACCCTAAAAAGCAATTGAGCATGTCTCAGAACGTTGTTGCGTGGGTTTTGGATATATGCTTGCTACTGCTACGTACTTCACTTATTTTCAGTATTGCCAGCAGTTCAAAGAACTTCAGTTTTATTTTGGAACATAACAAGTTCCATTCTTTCATTTACTGAAGTTGGCAAAAGCAGACCATTAATACCTAAAGCATTATTATGTTATTTTAGTGAAAGGATTATTCAAAGGCCATTGAGGGACGGAGCCTGCTGGTATGCACATACTGTGCCCAAGCAAGGGAGCAGATGGTCCTGTCCCTGAAGACAGACTACTTTGAATTCCACAGTTTTTATACGTTGTAGTATTTCTGCCACTGAGGAACTAAAGCCAGAACTTACATTCTCTTCCCTGAAGCAGTCAGTAAAAATAAACCTAAAGATAAGAAATAAGAATAAATAAATAATAAAAAAAAAAGATAATAAAAAAAAAAAAGGACAATCATTACTATATTCTTCAGGACACTTTTAAAGGGTACTGTATTATTAGACTCTGAGAAATCTTCATACCTACTCTTTTTTTCTTTTTTTTTTTTTCTGCTTCTTTTCTGCAGAAGTACAACACAAAATATTACTCATGCTGTCTCCTTGCTTTTGTCTAGACAAGGGAGCAGTATCCTGGGCTGGGTCTAAATTAACTTTTCCTGCATAGTAAAATGTTAATTCTTTACCTGTTAAAGAGCAAAACATTTTGTGCCCGGAAGTGTCAACAAGTCTCACAAGAAGCTGCTTAAACTCAACCTGAGTTCAGTTCCCTACTGATCCCAATTGCTTGAAACAGGTGACATTTGGGTCATTTTAGAAGGTCTCCAGGTACTCTCTGCTGTCTCATTTTGCCTCAGCCAGTGTGCACAGCTGGAGACTGCAGGGAGCACTGGGCTTCACCTGTACTGCGAGAGGCACTTCCATTTCCCTGGGGAAAATCATCAGGCTCAGGACTGAGTCAGCCCCAACATCATTCGAGCAAGATGGTACTGTACATGAACAATTTTGGCTTTCATGCCACCCTGAGAGCTGCTGTACATCATCACAGTGTTGATGCTTGCATACTGGTCAAAAGTCAGAGATTCAGTCTTTTATCTCACACAGGGATGGCTTGAGATATAATATTCTGATGATCCCCATTTTTATTCATTCACCTTTTGCTGACTGTCTTTCCCTGACATGTCTGAACATTCAGGTGAACACTGAGCAGATTTAGGTCCTCTGAATATTACTTTCCCAAGGTCCAAGGACCTTGAAACAAATATTGATAACACTATGTTAGACTATGTAGCTGTGTTAGACTTTTCTGTGAGCTTGATAGAAGGGGCCTTAACGCCAGTGGTAATCAGGTTACCTAGCCCTCATTTACAACAGCACCGAGGTGTAAAAATTACAGTGATGGATAAAATCAAGGAAAGTAGCATCTGATAATGATAATGCAGATGCTTCAAAAGTATCTTGCTTTTACTTCATTACGCATTGGTTATATAAAACAGAAACATACAGCAGATGTGGTAAATAGTCCAAAGCAAAAGGCTTCTGGTATGAATTCTCCCTAACTGTAATGAAGTTATTGACATTTCAACTATCAATTTAAACCACAGAGCTCAGGTAGACTTCTTGAGGAGAACAAAAAAAGCATTGTTCTAATAACTAAAGCAAGCACTTAAAAGTAAATACAAAAAACACAAAGCTACTTTCTGTGTGGTATTTGGTCCCTGAGGTTGTAAACTGGCTGTTTTTGTCTTTATTTTCTGGTTCTGCAGACTGTTCTCTAAAAAAAAGAATTGGTCTCAGAGTCCAAAAGCAAGTCATCTGCAAAATTAATTTCAATGATAGAATGCGGATTGTTGTTCATTTGGTTTTTGTGTATGTTCTGCTTATCTTCATAACGGGAAACATCTCTGGAATGTCAGAATTAAAATATCTACGAAGTTATTTTTAATCATCACTGCCTACAAAGCTAAATGCTTTGTTTTAGCTAGATTTTATTTTGCTAATGAAATCAGAAGTTTCTAGAATGAACATGATGTACATCAAATGTGCTAGAATAGTAATTTAAGGATTTTCATATTTGTGGAAGTCCTGTGAGAAATGCAAAATTTCTACTACTCAGACTCCTCATAGATTTCTGATGTTGTAACTCTCAAATAATAATTATTTTTTTTAATCCGAAATGCTGTTATATCACAGCCATCATTTTATCTTCTTGGATGCTGTTTCTATTGGAAAAGATACAGGTTTAATTATTTCACCCTTAGAGTCTTTCAGAGTCTTTAATCACTCAGCCCAAGCTCAGGGTACATAGCAATCATTATATGGCATACATTTCAATAAGTGAAAAATAGCTACACAATAACAAATTGCTTCCCCATCCCTTAAATGTATTAATTTTCTTCTCTCCTCTTTGTCTCACCCCCCAGAACTTGGAAACTGGTGAGTATTGCAGACGACTTCTCTCCTTTAACTAACTTGACATAATAGCTCCCTTTTGTCAATGGCAACTGTGTGCATTACTGGATAATGACAGGCTGAAACCCATGGTGTCTGTCACTCTCTTCTTTTCCTCACCAGCTCTTCCAGGTGTATGCTAATATTTTATCAAATGAGAAAGTTCTGAAATCACTTAACCTGATCATGAATTTATTACTATTTTTGAAATAGGAATAATGTGTCTGTCACACGCATTATTACCAATTTTTTTCTTTCTCTACTGAGAATATTGTTATTAGCCAGGAGGCATCAAGATCAATAGAGAAGAAAGGAAGCATCCTGTTCTCTCTTGTCCTGTCCTGTCCCCTCCTGGTTATCCACTAAATGCAGTTCTAATAGACTGATACTTTATGCTGGATTTCAGTTCTCTTTCATTTTATATGGTTCTCTTTCATTTTCCGCTCAGAATATTAGCAGTTGTTTCTGTTTTAACTATGCTCACAGCCCATAGATGTCTCTTCAGGGATGCAGAAATGTGTACACCCACATAGTTCACTGGTATTCCTCCAAGAAAACACTAGTCTAAATACCTTATACTTCCAAATCCGTGCAAATACATTCACAAAAAGTATGCATATCTCTCCAAACGATGCAGCTATGCTTAGCCAAAGGTGCCCTGAAGGTCTTCTACAAATTATTTCTGACTGAGTGAAACAACCACAAATAACAAAATCAGTTCTGAGCTTTGATCTGTTAACTCGATCTCCCCAGGTGTCAGAAGGACCAATATGCAATTGTTTTTGAACCAAGCTGTATAAAGGAATGCCCTATACCTCACTGGAGATAACAGCAAGCATTGTATTACCAATGTAAAAGTTTGCCTTTACTTGCATGCAGACAAAAAACTATGATATACCATACAAATATTACATACTGTGTACAGGCACTAAGAGAGTATGAGAAGATGGCAATGGAGCTGCTTTGCTGAGCAGAAACAGACAGAATTCATGACAATCAATTAATACAATAAGGAAGTCATGAAAAGCGGGATCTCAGAAACCACTTTATTGAAGACTGAGGTACAGTTCAAACAACACAAGTCCTTGAACCATGAAAGATAGTAAGGAGGAAAAATTGGAGTATTTCAGATTTGCACTTTCCAATTGGATTCACTTTGTGAGTCTCTAAATGACAAAGAAGCTTTCCCTTTAAACAGTCCTTGGTTCAATAATAATGTTTGTTACCCATTTTAGCTATTCATAGTGTCCTCCTTTAGCACAGGATCTCATTAACCCCAATCTTATAACATAGGATTTTACTAATAACCCATTCAACAGAGTTGCCAACAGGCACAGAGGCATTAGGCTCAGAGTTGAAAACCTATGTAGATCCAAAAAGTCAGTGACATGTAAATATATTTGAGGATCTGAGATAAGCATTGCCTGTTATCACTGGGGGATGGTTATGGAGTGCTGATGTTAGGATTTTCGAAGTCCAAGTTGTTGCCTGACAAATGAATCTTCCTTATCACCATCACAGTACTACTCGAAGGCAGACCTGGAGTTTCTGTGAAAATACATGTAGTTTGGTGTTGGGTTTGGTCAAACTCCACGTGAATAGATGACAATTTCTCTTCTGAGTATATGAACTGGTTACTGTGCAACAGCAGCTTTTGAGCAACCAGCCAGCTGTGTTTCTTAGCCTCAGGTAAATACCAGGCAAATCCAGGTAGCTCACCTCCACAGCAAGGAAAACTCAAAATACCTCAAATTTAGCCCTGAGTAAGTCTTCACACAAAAACCCTTTTTCTTAAGTAGCTAACTACCTATAAATTCACAGCCTTTTTTTGCAACATACGCACATGGCCATATGTAACTGCAGTTTCCACAGACACACACACACCCTGTAGAGCCTGATGAGGGAAACAAAGTTTGAACCTGCATCTTTCAGGAGTCTCTTAAGCACGTACTTGTTGTGTGATTTCAGTCAGATGAGGGAGATGCTAGAGCAGGCACTGGCCTGCTCCAAAGAGATTCACTTTATCCTATCAACTCAGGATGAAAGGCTCAAGTCCACAAAGGTATAAGGTGCCTAACTCCTGGGAGGGTTACTCCCTAGAGAGGAGCCAAGCAGCTAAGTACTCTTTTGTCAATCTAGACCTCAGCTACCAAATGGAGTCACTGTGGTCTACCCCTTACTTTAAATAAACACCAACTGAAACTTGTCACATATGGCACCTAATTTTGTCAAAGCCTGCCTCAGAAGTACTCAGCCCTCACTTTATCAAAAAGGCTTTTGCCAGAAACAGCAGGTTAGAAATTGGAAGAAAATGAATCAGAATATCAGGATAGATGTGGTGCCTTTTTTTTTTTTTTTTTTTTTTTTTTCCACCCACAGTGAATTAATAATTACCATTTTCAGAGTAGCTGGAACATTACCAAGGATAAAAGACCAACACAAAGACTGCTACAGAGAGACCTTCTTTCATAACCCTAGTAGGAGCAAGCATCTAAAGGAGAATTTGGATGCATTTACTGGATGTACTTTAGCAAGTTTAAATACAGAAACAGTGAAAGAACTTTTATAACAATTTATATGAGCTCAACAGTGATTGCATTTTAACAGCTGCTGCTGGTCCTCTGGGCCACTGCACTGTAATGGAGTCAGTTTTTCTGCTGAAAGAAATGATTAAATTGTTCACAGAGAGTCCCTGAAAAGGTGTCAGTATGAGCAGCTGGAAATTTAGGATCTAACAACTTGAGCATTGGAAAAAAAATCATCACCGGTTTATGTTCCCCTGTGGAGATAAAAAATGAAAACTTAAATTCTGGCAGAACTCAGTCATTTTCTACAACCAGACACACATTCAATTTTAACAAATTGGAATGAATACCCAGTGTCATTGTTATCCATGTAAACTCAACCTGATGGTATGTGATGTTTGTACCATTTTTAGAGCCCTACATCATTAATGATTAATAGTGACCTACATTCAGTATAGCATTATATTGCTCTCCAGAGTTTCTATATTGCTCACTAATGAAATCTAGCTACTGCTTTGGGGAGATGGACAGACTATACTGTATTTTGGAAGGTTGTATGGAGAAGGAAAGCAACACAAATGCTTGTTTTAACTGAACCCTCTGGAGAAATTTAAGTGATTATTATCCACACTTGAGTATGGCTCAGTTTTGGGAGTTAATATTTGTGTCGTTAAAAAGAGTACCCTGGGGCCTTTGCCAATCACTTGGGTCTATCTTTCGCACCTTACACAAAAGGCCTATGATAGCACACAGCATTCCAACAGTACACAGGTGATGGATTTGTCCACAAAATTTGCCATGCAGGAAATTACTTCAGCACTACCCAGAGTCCTTGGACTTTCTTTAGCAAAGTCTCAGATAGTAATGATCTGTGAGTATGTAAAGTTTTGAATGCTGGTTACTTAAGAGCAGCTGTGAAATATCCTGCCCATCACATGATTGTGCCTGGCACCCAGGATGTTGTAACCATTACTGTGTGTGTACGATATTCCAGCCTGGATAAAATGGAAAAGTGCAGCTCTGGAGCAGATGGTGCCAGACTTTCAACAAGTAGCTCTCACTGCTTATTCTAGAAACTGCTGGAGGCTGGGCAGTCTGGGAAATCTGGCCACTGTCTTAGGTGTCTGAAATGGAATTTCTTGTACTCATTGGGAAATCAGGCCTTTACTTATTTATTTATCCCTCAAGCACTAGAAAATGCTCCATGATAACACTATACCAGATTGCTACATACAGCACGTCTTCACTTCCAGATGGGAAGTAGTGTTGCATTGGGTTCTTTGTAAACTGAGTGATCTTCATAGAAAGATATCTAGTGACCCAGTTTCTCCTTTCAAAGACTTGAGCTTCTCTGTAAAAAATAAAATAAAAATAGCACCACAGTTTCATTATCAGAGATGACCAGGAGAGATAAATCGTAAGCTGAAGAGAATCAGATTGCAAATTGTCTTTTTGTTCGCTGACACGAATTTGTTTTTCATGTACAGGGTATTTCAATAGAACAACACCCTATGTGTTAGCCAGTCAGAACTGAGGAATCATTCCATTTGTCTTATGACTGATTCAAAGTGTTTTACTAGTACATGCCATAACATCTTTTATCAGGGTTAGCTTATCATTAATCACAAGAAATTGCAGTTGTTTGCTTTAAAATGCTGTTGGTGACTACACTCAAAATGCAAATCTTAGTCATTAAACCATCAGCACATTTATGAGCATAAGGAAAGAAAATTTTTATTCTGCTAGGATGTGGAACAAAAATTTAATATCTGGTTCAATGCATAATTTAAGACAAAAGACAATAACAATTTTAAAACTTGAATATGAACTCTAGAAATTCTTTTTCCTGAACATATTTAATCTGTTATGATCCCTAGTAACTTCACTAGCTGATGATTCATTGAAATTACAGATGAAAAAGTATACTAGCTCATGTTTCCTTCATTGCATAATTCTTGATTATAAGTGTTTTTCACAGTTTTAAATTAATCATTGATAAAGTTTCCAGCACTTTCAGAATTTGAAGAAATATATTATCTATAGGCAGGAGTTATTTAAAGCCACAGAATAAAACCAAGTAATTCTAAAAATTTTATATTTATAGAACTAGATACTATAGTGTCTGTGACTTGTAGACAAAAATTGTATTTAATCTCAACCATAATCAAAGTTACAGATAATGAAAGAAAGACCATCCAAACATATATGAGGAAAGCAGAAGATAGAAAAAAATGAAATACAAAGATAGACTAGGCTAGACTTAATATAGACCTTTTACCATTACCCTCTTTACCATTATTTTCTAGACAAATGAAATAAGCTCTTTAGATTTCCATATAACCTTTCTCTTCAGTATGCTATACAACTATACTTTTATTCGTTCAAATGGAAATATGTATATTTACATGTATTTTTCTAGATAAATTGCATAGACCATCTCTCTTTAGGTTTAGATTTAATATTTCAGATTTCAGAAGAGCACTTGATGCAATTACACAACCATCAACCTTATAACCTAGGTGAAGAACTACTAAAGTATTAAAGAAAAGTTGGGGGAGCAGGACGGGAATAGGGGAAGGAACCTACCTACAAGGCAGGTTCCTAAAGCAGTTCCTTAAGGACTGTTTAAGTACAGTATTATTTATGTGATGTTGGCAGAAAAAGTCTGACACCAGGTAAGGAGCCACCATAAATGCAGAGGAGGCTTGGTACATGAAGAATAGATGACCTCTGGGACTGGAATAATAGAAATTGGATAAACTCAGTAGCAAAAAAAAAAAAAAAAAAAGGTCTTGGATATTAACACAAATAAAAGGAATTTATTCTGTAAGTTAACAAATCACCAGCTGCTAAAGACACAGTGCACTATTCAATAACATAATAAGTAAGACAATTAGTGTGATGTGAAATGGAAAAGGTAAATTAGTCCTAATGTTTATCTGGAAAAATGTTTCCAGAGCATGTATCCTACAAGCAGAGATGATAATAATGTGTACTGAGTGAGGAATAGTTACATGGGACTTGGCTTCACTAAGTCCAAATGAACACATACACATGCAATGAGATGCTTCTGAAAATATTTTCTTTTGTTTCTGCAAGTACAAAAATCCATGGAGAAAGGCAAAGAGCTGCAAACTGTGCTCTAATTGCCACAGAGGCAATAAAATATGTGGAAACTCATAAAACTGCTAATGGTTTTGATCTTCATATGGCTTAGTACCATGTATGAAAGCTCTGAGAAGATACATTTGTTCTGATATTTACAAATGGAATGCTGTAACCATACAAAGCTATGGAGAACATTCATTCATTAGTTCAGTTTTGATCTAATTTTCTACGGAGCAAGATAACATCTCCCACAAAAAGCTCTAAGGCACCACCCAAAATTAATTGTTCTCAGTTCTTAAGAAAAGCCTTTTATCAGTTCCAGCAGCACTAGAATTTGGATGTCTATTGATAACTAGTGATCAACCATCATGACACTGAAAGAGGGAAAGAAGGTACTAGTAACTTTAATGACTAATGGAGGGGGAAAAAAAAAAAAAAAGGAAATAGAAAGGAAATAGAAAGGTTGTGAATTCATTAAAAATTGAGTTATTCATTGATTTACAATGACTAATAAAAGATTAAGTCATACTAACTGATACCATGATTTTTTATTAGGCAAGCTGTTTATAAAGTCTTCAAAATAAGATGGTCAGACCTTCAAGAAAATGGGAAAGCTGATTCAAGGTCTAAATAAGGAAAGGTAGGTTATTTATTTATTTCTCTTTTTTCTGACATCTTCTTACTATATGCATTTATGCATTTTAATCTGCCTTTTTTTTTTTTACTATGTTTTGTGAGACTACATAAAGCATGCTAAATCAACTTATAATGTGTCAGTTAAATAAAGAAATCACAGAGTAAACACACAAATATTCCAGCATCTGCAGTCATGAAACTAAAATACTGAATGTGGAGTAACCATTCACCACTAATTTCATTGGAAAATGTAGCCTGATGAGATACATAAAAAGAAAAGACCTAGGAGAAGTTTTGAAACACCTACAGTAATAGTTTCCTATACAAACAGCTGTTTTATACAAGTATTGCATTTTTTACTTCTCTGTCTCTTTAAATTTATGGTTGCAGAAAGGTTATATAAACTGAACCAAAAGTAAATACAAAATTTGCTTTGAAAAGATGCTGAAATCTCCTGCTGTTCTCAGTGTCCAGTTCTGGTTCAAGTTTTCCTTCCCTGATGCATATTACAAAGCAAAGATTTGATAATAGACTGTTTCTCTCCAAGCACAGAATATTTTTAAGAAGATTTGTTAGTAATTTAAGTTTTATTGCATACAATTTTACAATCCAGTTTGGATTTTATTTTTTGAAAGGGAAATGACCTGTTTCATAGAGATGTTGTGATTGTGAAGTATGTGTATGGAAAGAGAAAATTTTATGATTCCCTCAGCTCCTGGAATGTTGCATGTACTCCCTGAATATTAAATTTCAAAAAAAAAAAAAAAAAAATTCATTCAGCTTTGTAAACAGTAGTAAAGCTGTCAGCCATTCCATGCAAAGACTGCGTTTGGCATCTTGATATGTAGCACAACGGGCTACAAGAATATTATCTTTCCAAGAAGACAGGAAGATGAGTTTCTTGAATAAAGATGCAACATCATGTAAATCAAACATAAAATAGCAGTGTAGAAAAGCTATTTCTTTTAGCTGGGAAAGGTAATTTTGGAAGACAGTAACTTAAGACAAATGTAACCTATAACACATCAGATTTTGTCACCACTTTTGACATTTTTTGTCATTTTTTGAAAAACTTTTGTTGAGAATTCATCCAAAAAAATAACTTACCCTAGCATGACATAAAAACTATAGTGTCCTTATCCAAAATGGCACTATATTATAATTAATCTGAGATTACAAATACTATTCTAAAGATTCATTGTGCACTTCGATGTGAATGTGTACATTAATAAATAATTTATGAAATAATTTTACATTAATATTTAATATATTAACAACTAATGCTAATTAACATTAACTTATATACATTCTATAAAAATAATTTTACATAAATTTTAAATTCCCAATGAACTTGAAGAAATCATTAAATATTTTTGACTGTTATAGAGCTTTTAGAATTAACACATATGAGTTTTTAATCAATGTCAAGAGGAAAGGACATTTAGTCTTACTACTATTTTGAGTAATTCTCTGACTACAGAAGTAGTGTACCTTCCTTAGCAAAATGAGGATTTAGGGATTACAGAGAAGCACATGGTAAATGTGGCATGAATCCTAGACACATGAGGATTCCTTGAATCACAGTGTACTCACTAAAGATCTGGTGTCAGTTCTGGATTAGCGTCTAGTCTGAAGACTTCTCCGTTTTCAGGAAAGTTGAAGAGGTTCAGACAATTCTAGCTAGCAAGTAAAAGCAGACTTCACAAATGATCTCTAATATGTGGTCCTTGTTGCCCCATACATGATTCTCTGTTATCTACTGCAAGAAAGATTTGGGAAGGGGGGATTTTTTTTGAGGATATGGTACATGTCTAAAGCTGTGGTGAATGAATCAAAAAGAAAAAAGATTGTCTAGAAAATTATTTTAAAGCCAACTAAAGCTACTATTAAAGTACTTTAGAGGAGAATCCTATGGTTATCACTGCTCTTAAATCTTTAAAATTTTGTCTTTCTCTTTTTCAGGTAAAGAAAGTGTAGCAAAGTAACAAAAATCCAGGGAAGTCAGAACACCTACAGGTTGCTCTTTATGATTCTTTAATGATCTAGCAGATGGGACATCAGGATGACCGTACTGGGAAAAGGCCATCTAAGCCTGCAGACGGCCTGAATCTGTCTTTACTACTAATGGAAGTGTCGTTCCAGGAGAGTGTTTGTGCAGAGAGGCAGTGTAATACTGCCTCAGATAATTGCCATTCTACCATTTTTCTATTCACATTCCAGGACTGGTCACCAGGGCACAAGCTGTTCTTGGCTACGTGGCCCATACCATTGCATACTGACACATGCCAGTTCAAATTCACACAAGGAAATCTTTGTGGTTAGAACCTGAACGCCTGTGGATTAACCTACCACTGCATTTAAATCACTGAAAATCAAAACCCTACTCCTCATGCCTGTGGGAAGGGAATAACATACATCTTGATTTGGTTGCCTTTGTAATAAGTATAATTCCTTGCAGGCTTACAAAGAAAAACAGTCACCTAATAATCTCGCAGATTAAAAACAGAAGCCTATGCTAATGAGCTAGGAGAGCCAAATTCTACTTCCATTTTTAACTGTGCCTCACTTAATGACTTCAGAATGCAGCTCAAGGTCTGATTCATCTCACCTAATTTAACCATCTCAGGCATCTATTTTACAATAGCTAACTAGACTCAAAAGTAAATAGAGAAAAATGAAAAGAACCTTCTAAGATAGTATCTAAAATAGGTGTGGTAGACATGCATCTCTCTTTCTGCTACTAAGTGGGATTAGATGGGTCAAATGGATCAGATGCCTTTTATTTTGTGTTTACCAGCTTACTCTCAGTCTAGAGTTTTTCAGTAGTCAGTAGAACAAGATACCCATCTTCAGTGTATGATTCATCACACGTTTCTCCAAAACTTATTTTGGAATGGGATAAATCCCTTCTGAAGTTGCCTCTGCATCTCTGCTGACTAAAAGAAACAACATGGAATAGAATCCCATCAAAAGTCACTCAAGGATAAATGGATAGGATAAATACCAGCTGCAGACAACACGTCTATTGCAATTGGTAAAGTAAACATTTTTTAATTGTTTTTAGCCAAGTTTAAGTGTTCAGTTTGATCATTATTAATTAGCATTGTTAAGATATAATTGGAGAGGTATTACCAGTTTAGAAGCCCAATGTAACTTCTAAAAATTTAAATAGGGACTGTTCCATCTGTTTAAGTATGACCAACAAAAGCAACTCATTAAAACATCTGCTAGCATGTGATTATTAGTCTAAATTGAACTTCTGGATAGAATATTCAAAATTTATACTGTAATTAAATCGAAGGTTTAAGTTTCCACCAGTTCTATCAGAACAGTTAAACTCCTTCTGTCGTATTTTCTTATGTGTCATGACAATTCTCTGTGACAGCACTAAATTTGACAGAACCCACAATGCATTGCACCAACCCAACTGTTTTAATTTACCTTATAATTCAGCGACTTACTAGGACACATTCTGTATTTCTAAACAAGTGATCTCCTTCAAAGACACTGACTCTTTAATCTTGGCATGAATATTGAAGTTTACACAGATGAGCAAGCTGAACACTCAGTATGAGAGAGCTGCAAAGCTCATTTTGCTAAGAATAGGGGTTACAGGGGTGCACACTGCTGCTACACTACGTACTTGTCTTTACAGAGAAGGGACGATTTGTTCATGAACATAATAAAATGGAGCCATTAGAACAAATGCAAATTTTATAGAGGAAAATTTCACATAGACACTTTTCTTTCCAACTAGTTGGTTCATCTGATCATTCTCATTTGGCTTTTTGTTTGTAAGTTTTAAAGTTTTTATTGTTGCATAATGACAGCTATGTGAAGAATGGTCACACATACCTAGGCAATGAAAAATTGAAAGGAAAGATGCAGATCATTTACCAAATACCTAGACTGTGAGTCAATATATTTTTGGATGCCTCAACTTTTACCAGTGTGTGATGGAAATTACTAAAATTGAGGACAGCAAGACTACTGCTGGTAAATTATGACTTAGAATTAAACCAAATGATTCAAACCTTAAATCAGTAAAATGGCAAAGAAGAACACAGTCATGTATAAAACTTAAAGCAATCAAAAAAAAAAAAAAAAAAAGGATTTGAAAAGGAGTTTGCAGCAGTAGGATTAAAAAAAAATATATAAATAACTAGATCCATAATCTTACCTTGTCAGAAGTTGTCTGAAAGTCTATTTAGTGCCTAAAGTCTAATTCATTCACCATTTTTATCACTTGATGTGTTATGCTGTGTCTCACAGCTGGAGAGTAAACATGCCAAAAGTTGACATTCTAAGCAGCTCTGAAAATATTTAAGTCCCAGACATATTTTCAGAGCAAATTGCAAATTTGGCTTCTGCATTTAAGAAGATACCAAAGGGCATGTGGCTCGGCCAGTGTCCAAACTGGCTGTGATACCTAGGAGGAGTTTACCTCAATCTGATTCTTTCATACAGTCAGTAGGCAATCTGAGAACGGTAGTAGTATTTTTGGAGATCCTGGTTTTGATCCACCATAGAAAAAAAAAAAAAAAAAAAAAAAAAAAAAGGTAATGAGTTTAACAGTGTTAAATCAAAAGCTTCTGGAAAGATATCCACAAACCAGTTCAGTGTGGAAATATTTTCTTGTTGGCTTAAACCTTTAGCTTTTCTTGAAAAGGGAAAAATATATGACCATTCATTTCTACCATAAAAGGAAAAACTACAAATTCAATGAGTTTTGGTCTCAAAGTGTATCAATTGCTCCTTATAATGTTACATGCTAAATCATGCCTTTGATTAAAGAGTGGCTTTTCTGACAAAGTTAGTGATTATCACAGCTTAGGCTATATTTTATAGCAGGCAGATGATTAATTTCCACAATAGTGTGTGTGAGGGCTCAGCTGCATGGTTCTAGCAGGTTTTCTTCCAAAATACCAACAGTTAAAAAAATAAGGAAAATAATGTTTAACTCTTTTTCAAAGTTCTCTGAGAAAAATGGCCCAGTAAAATTTCATTACATGTCCATTTCAGCTATTGTAAAACAAAACAAACAAAAAAAAATGTTTATGCACATTAAAAATAATAAAAAAGTATAATGTATCTGAAAGATACAGGATCATTGACCCTCAAGAATAAAATCCTTTGGATTGTCTGAATTCAAATTATCTGGTGGAAGTGTTCAAGAGGAAGTAAGAACTCCCAAAAAGATTAGGCCAGAAATTTCTACTAAGCAACGGAAGAGGACAGTATCAACAAGCAGAGCCTGTAGTCCATCAGCTTTTCCTTTAATGTGACTGATTATTATCAGTGAATATCTATTACCAAGTGTTTATGAAGGTTTTTGATATATTTTGTTGGGTTTTTTTATTTTGACTCTTTCCAAATCTGAGAGAGCACAGTAGTTCAAGTCAGGAACAACTGCCCAAATTTTCCAGTGACTCTCCATTTATTCAATGCAACTGTCGCTCAATTAACATAAGAACAGAATGTCTGCCAGGTCTCCAAAACAAAAGGTGAGTTCATGGTGATGAGCTGGGACCAAAAATGCCAGAGTACAAACAGTTTTTCAAAAGAATTTGTTCTCTACTACTCAGGCTAGGCCAGATTTTGACAAAACCAGCAGGTTCATAAAATGCCAGAAAGAATTAGTGAAAATGATACCAACACCTGAATACAATCTGTGGTATTGCTGGTTACCAACCACTGTGATGCAGATTCACAAGCTAGTGGTGACTTTAAACCCGAAGCTATCACCCAGATTGCAGCTGTAAGTGTTGGGCTTTTTCATATTTCAGAGAGTGTTCTGACTTGGCAGAATATATTCATATGCAGGAAGTTTATGAGCAGAAGATCTGCAAATTCTGTTATTCAAATGAGGAAGCTGAATAAATTTGTCCAATATACCTTATCCACAGTTCTGGAATGGGAAGAAGATTTTCAATTTATCAACAGAAAAACTATAGGGACAATTAGGGTTATTAATAAAGTGAGTTATTTGCTAAAGCTGATTTTGAGTACCATCTGGTAATCCTGATTCTGGAAGTGTTTCATAGCATTGACTTCTTCAAGATTTTCCTGGAAGATGATATCAGATCTGACAGTGATTTTCAGATTCAGTAAGCTACCTGACAGGAGGCATAATGAAGCTTTTAACACATTTCAGAAAGAAAAACTTGCAAGCATGATATAGTAAAGGTTTCCAGTTCTGAATGGCATTTGCCAGACAATCTAGTAGACTTTTTCACTTGCCTTGTGACTTACATTCATAGCATTTTTATGCATTTACTTGAGTCTTCCTTCTGATCTACTAAAATAATTCAGCTGAAGGTAAAAATGCTGTAAGCAACTGCAAATTTATTATTCCTCCTTTTTAATTACTCTTGTAGATTGGTATTTTGTGGGCTGCTTCCTCTCCAAAGTTCAATTTTTCCCTTGCATGCAGTTAAATATGTGATATCAACAGTTGACAAACTCATGCACTGCTATAGATATATTACAAAGTGTATTTAGCTTTTTTTCAAATAATTTATTTTCTTGCTAAAATTCTGTCCAGACTCATGTTTTACTGGGAAGGAAGAATAAAATGAAAGAAGAGTGAATGAGTGAACAAACAAAAGAAAGAATGATAGTTGCAAGTAGAAGACATCTGAGCTGAATTTTTTCAGGGTAATTAGAGAATCTGATACCTGTGAGAAACAGGTCACATCAGGATTACCTACAGGTGGCTCACTGTAGTGTATTTACACTATCAGCACTTCTCTAATATTACTGTAGATTTTCTAGGAAGAAAAGCAATAAAGTAAAGAAACCTGTTAGACAAAAGAAATAGAGTACAATAAACTTGTCAAATCAACTTGTCTTTCTGTTCATCTCATCTCCTGAAGGTAATCATTACCTATCTCTTTTCTGAATCTGCATGCCATCTGGAGCTTTGAGCAGAGCAAAAAATGTATTTTCTGTTCTATTATAGAGACGATATTCACATTGGTATAAATTAATCTCAACATTTTTATTTTAATGCTGCAAAGAGCAATTGATTGTGAACATACTGACTGTAAATGAAAATAACAGTACACATGTTTTTGCAGAGTACCGTTCATTTTTCTTTATTCTGTATGTGATCATATAGTTGTTATATGTAAATAAAATCATTTGGTTTTACTTAATAACGACTGAGATTTTGGCAAAATCATCTTTTTGTTCTGTTTGAAGTTTAACAAACAGATTTTTAGTTGGATTTTTCTGATCATTCCTCCTGATATATTTTAATCATTTAGAGCAGACTGAGCTCTTTTTTTTTCTAAATTGTAAGCTAACAACTATTTTTTTAGCAGATTTTGTTTTTGTTTTTTAAAGAAATACATTTGCTAATATATTTCAACAGCACCACTAACCCGTAATTATACTTCAGTATGAGAGCATGTTTTCTAACAGGTACTGCCCCAAACAGACATGTAACAAAATCAGTATTTGTCAGTTATAATGTGAATATAATCTGAAAATGGGACAAAATGTCTTTGAAGGCTAATTAGTCTACTGTATCACTGCCACATTCACCGATAGTATTTTTGGTTTTATTTCTTGATTAATTTTCTTCATACTATAAATTCACTAAATATAATACAATAAGATCTGAATGGCGCCACCAAAAAAAAAAAAAAAAAGTGTCATCAGCTGTTTTTTAATATGCAAGCCTAAGAGAGACTCCAAATACCAGTGACAGGCATGTCACAGGCACATACTGCCCCTGAGCTTTCAGCATGCTCTCGGGATTTGGACACTCATAGATTCTAGGTGGGCTCAGTGTGGACCTGGGATTAGGTAGCAATGTAGTTTCAGATCTTTAGTGGCTTAGGATAAAAGAGTTGCCAAGGACAGTTATAGAAATGTGGAGTAACATCAAGAAGACACAATATGGGTAGAATAGGAGTTCTCTGCTGCATAATGCTTCATGTAAAATAATTTGACTAATTAGCTAGTTTAAATTAAATTGGAAAGTTTTTTATCAGGTGAAATAGGTAGTCTAAAATGATCCTGTCACTAGTCAGCTCAGCATCTGCATTCTAACTGGCTAAGAAAATATCCTCATCCCTAGTACTTTCATTTCAATATCTCAGGTTTATAGAATCAGGTGAATAACACCAGGCATTTGCCATGTATGTTTGCTAGGAAAAAAAAAAAAGGAGGGGGGGAGGGGGTAAAAATGATTTGCTGGGGATGATTTATGCGTAGTGCTCTTCAGCTGAACTTCAGAGGAGATGAGACAACACTGCACCTCATTAAGAAAGGCAATGCCTAGTACAAATAGACCTAGGAATTTCAATGACATTTCCAAGGAATATTCTAATCAAAAGCACCTTAAATCAGTGCTTGAATGTCAATTTTTAACTTGCATAGTTCAGATATTTCTCCTGGCAACAGTTCCCTAGTGTCATTATCACTTACTAAAATTTGATACCATCTACTACCTGAGCCTGAATTCCTGACACACAGTACCAGAGATGTAAATATTATGCCAGATTAAAGAGTAGCATGTTTTGACAATTATGAAGACAGACGTTTCTCTTTTGCAATGAGGAAGTCTCAGAAAATATGTAAATGCTTAGGCAGTTAAATTGTGTGCAGCTTATTCAGAAGGGAAATAACAAATACACAGCCCAAAGCTACTGCAGTGTCTTTGAATATGTGTAGCTCTGTCAAACAAAAGACATTTGGCTGCTTCTAAGAAATTTCATACTCCTTTCTAACCTGAAGTCATATAACTTCAGACTCTGATCCTCTCTGATCTCTAGCTAACAGCATGCAAGTAAGTAGCTGCATAAGAAACCTCACTTGGTTCTTGAAGTAGCAAAGGGGAAATATTCTCTGAATCAGGATGGTGAAATCTTTGGGTTTGGGAGTACAAAAGTTTTGCTAGAACTCAACTGTCATTGTAAGATCCATTCTGCAGACACTTCTAGGGGTCAGACCATCCTGGGGTTGCTATCTCCAGAATATGGTGCTTGAAATTTATTTTCTACTAACTAGAATCTATTAAGCTACAGTCTCATCACAATTTTAACTGGTTATAATAATTTCTTTCTTAGCTAGAACATTTTCCCTAAATTCTCCACTTAATTCCACAATATATCTGCTGTGGCTGTTATGAAAGTTATTTTTACATACAAGGATAAAGGAGGATAAAGGATGTGAAAGAGATTATTTAAAAATAAAAAATAAAAGCTTAAAAAAAGAAAGCTAAGTAGATAGTACAGTAACTTCTTTGAACACATATGTAATTGTTTTGTTGTTTTTTTTTCATGTTCATGGGTACATCATACTATAACATTACTTGGTATTAAGAACAGTGAACTCAAATGTAAATAACTGCATGCCATCTTCCTTTTTTTTTCATTGTAATTTGTTGTAGAAAGTAAAGAATTCACACTTCATATCACCTTGGCTATGGATCAAGTTCAGCCATAATTTGCACTAGTTTTCATTTTGTTCACTGGATTACTTCTTTATGTGTTCTTTCATTGTTCAGTAGAACTATTGAATTTATGATGATTTTTATTCCCTTGGGTGGATTGAAAGTATAAAAGCAGTAAAGCTACAAAGTTATACAAGATGAATGTCTAAAGGTAAGACTGGTTGATACAAAGACAATAGATGACTTCATGTAGGGAGGATAAAGTAGAGAATCAGATAAGGAAAATATGAAGTAAAGGGAATTTAGCAGGAATTTATGACATTACTTTTTAATTTAATTTTAATTTTTGCTATGCATGGCTGTTAAGATTGTCTGTACAGAGTTGTTGTACTGGATCAGAAGAAAAGAGGGCACTTCTTTACTGTGAGGGTGACAGAGCACTGGAACAGGTTGCCCTGAGAGCTTGTGGAGTCTCCTTCTCCGGAGATATTCAAAACCCACCTGGATACCATCCTGTGCGAGGTTGTCTAGGTAACCCTGCTTGGCAGGGGGGTTGGACTAGATGATCTTCAGAGGTCCCTTCCAACCTCAACCATTCTGTGATTCTGTGAAAAGTCACCCTATTTGATGTGTTCTGGTAGCAGCTAGTGGTGGTATATGTTAAGTAGTGGACAAACCTGACAGTGTAATAGAGGTGATGCTGCAAACCCTTCACAGGGGTACACACCACAGGTCTCCCTGCTGACCTCCATACCCTGTGATCTCTTCAGCACTTGGCCTGGATACTCTGGTCCCTTCAGAAGCCAACTACTCAGGTTGTCTCAGTCACAGAAACATGCCCCATGCGTGCACACCTGGCCCCCAAACCACTTCACCTACTCACTGATTAGTCTGCCCTGATAAATGACTAGCAACAAGATGCTGACACGAGCAC